ATGCTCTCCCTCAAGAAATTAGAGCAAGTCGCCATCAATAATCAAGCGACTTAAGCAAAATAAGAGCTTCCAGAGCCCGAAGCTTCGTACCACCATCCTTCCACCAAGAAAAAGGAGGCACAACCATCAGAAAAGAAAAGTCGACGGAAAGGCTCGATTATCCCTAAACGAATCCTTGCCTACTCCAGAGGAAAAACAAAAATACTCCTCATGGCTCAGTATTGCCATTACATTGAGTCAGTAAGCATACCCACCCATTCTCCACTACATTCATCAAAGGAGAATAAAGGCTACACAAAAGCCTATCACCAACCGTCAAGGAGTCAAACCTCCGCTCCAACGAAAAAAGAAAAGAAAAATTTTCTTCTCCAACGGATGTCCAAAAAAGAGAAGGCACATCAACAAAGAAAAAGTCAATGGAAAGGCTTGATCATCCCCAAGTGGATCCTTACCTACTCCAGAGGCAAAACAAAACAAAAATATTACCCCAAGGCTTAGCATCGTCGCCACATGAGTCATCAAGCGTACTCAACCAAATCTCCGCCACATTCCCCAATGGAAGAATAAAGGCATCTCATTCATCAACAAGCAATCAAGGAGGCAAACCTCCATACCCCCAAGGGCTCAAGAAAAAGAAAAAAGAAGAAAGGAAAAGAAAACCCTTCATCCCCAGCGGATGCCCAAAAAGAAAAGGTCATGATAAAGGAAGGTCAATAAACCGCAAGTGGGCCATAAAAAAAGAAAGGAGAAGAAAATGCCTGCATGCATAAAAGAAACTAAAAAGTAAAAAGGCACACGCATTATCCCCACAAAGAAGTCAAATTTCAAAATCGCGAAAAAAAGAGATAAATCGCGAAAAATGGTGAAATTAAATAAATATCCTAACTTTTAGGTAACTAGTGAAATCCCCAAGTGGGTCATATAAAAAGTAGGGCAATCAAATTAAGGGATCGAAAATCCAATTTCTCTCCAGCAGAATAAGAGCTTCGCAAAACCAGCTCTCATCATCATCATCATCAATTAGAGAGTCAAAACTCTATTCCCCCAGAGGATAACCAAAATTAGATCCTCAGGGAAACAAAATTCCCCGATGGATCACCAAAAAGAAAAACATATCCCCAGTGAGCCTACTACATAGGTCATCTCCAAATTCATATCCTTAGAGAGTCTTTCGCTGTGCATTAGCAAGACTTGGCAAGCAAGAGCCAACATCCCAAAGGGAACATCAGCCTACTCAGAGGTAAAGAAATGCAACCAAAAGTCTTCACCTCCAAATGAAGCATCTGCCTACCCAGAGGCATTACCATCGGAATCAACAAATCCCCAGTGGATTTTTGCCTACCTAAGAGGTGCTTATAAAAAATCCTTGACAACTAACAAAGCCGGATGGCTACGGAAAAACCCAAAATCAAGAATCAGCAATCAACAAGCTGGATGATTATTGGAAAAAACCAAAGCATCAAAGAATCCTCAGCAATCAAGAAGCTGAATGGCTATTGTAAAAGCTAAAAAGAAGAATCCCTGGAACACTGGACGAATACTCAGAAAAATCAAAAACAATTTTCAAACAAAAAACTACTCCCTATAGAGTCAGCGTATAACTAAGATCAGTAAGCCGCTACCATAGTTTAGTCCAAGAAAAGTGGGCGTCTAACCAGATCGGGGTGCGTACTCATCTGCAAACCAGACGAGAGTGCGTACTCATCGAGTCTTACAAAAGGGACTCAAAACCAAATCTTACAATAAAGGATCGACTATCTCATTGAAGAAGCATCTTGATGAAAGTAATGAAGATCTTATTGAATCTTTTAGACGAAGATCTTATTGATTTGATGAAGTCAAAATGAAGTCAAAAGCTATTCTGTTGCAGTCAAAGGTCACTTAGATAAAAGGGTAGAGTGTTTAGTGAGTCTGCATCTTTACTTAGGTATAATCATTCTTATCTCTTTGCTGCATAAGGTTTCTTCATTTAAAAGATTTTGCAAAAGCCTCTAACAAGTGTTTAATCTGTTAAAAACAAAGTATTTTGTTAAATGGTTTTTAAGTAACTATTTTAACTTATATTATATGAGCTTTATCAGTTAAAATGTTCTTAACACTTTTGTAACAGGTTTTTAACTGATATGTTTTTGAAATAATCGATTGTTTCATTAGAAGTGTTTTTGAAAACCTTCTGCCAATATCTTAACTGATGTAGAATTGATATAATCTATTAAAATGACTTAAGTTGTTTTGAAAAGTGTTCTGGCAGAATTTTAATCGATACAAACTCGAAATAATCGATTAATATAACTTGAAGTATTTTGAAAGATGTTCTGTCAGTATTTTAATCGATACAAATGCGAAATAATCGATTAAAACACTTAAGAGATTTTTTCAGAATGTTTTAATCGATTAAAACAAGTATGTTATCAGTTAAAATAACTTAGAAAGTTTTATGAAATCTTTTGGCAGAATTCTAATCGATTAAAATGTGTTTCAATCGATTAAAATAACTAAGAGGATTTTTTCCAAAGTATTTTAATCGATTAAAACAGATTGTTATCGATTAAAATCACTTAGAAAGTTTTATGAAAACTTTTGGCAGTATTTTAATCGATTAAAAGATGAAATAATCGATTAAAACAATTTGAATGATTTTTTACAAAGTGTTTTAATTGATATAAACGTTGTCAGTATAAGTTAAAACAAATCTGGAAAATGATCAAGAACATTTTAACAGATTAAAAGAAGTTTTAACAGATTATTTCAAGACTTTTAACTGATTAAAAGATTGTTTTAACAGATTAATTAAACCAGCAGTTTCAACAATCTTCTATATAAATAGAATTGCTTAAACATTTTAAAATACATCTTTTGGCAATCAATCAAGCAATCATAAGTGCTACTTTCAAGAGAGAATCACGCAAGTTTTGTGAAGTTCTTAGAAGTTCTTTCTTGAGGCAATTTTTGCATTCTTTTGGTGAAGAAACTCATTCTGCAGAGCTGCATAAACCTGGTTTGGGTGTTCTAGTTTCTTCTCTTTGTTTCTTTACTTTTATTTTCTGTATTGTGGGTGCCTGGAAGTGTGAGCACTGGTTTCTGTAGCTGGAATTTGGCTGCAGGGTTGTTCAAGAACTGGAAATTGGTTCTTGGTGAAGGTTTAGGTGCAAGGACTGGAATTTTGGTTCTTGTGGTAGATTGGGTGTGTGATTGGAATTGTAATCTGTAAAACATTCAATCTAGTGGAACCCAGCTGGAATTTGGCTGGAAACTGGACATAGCCTTGGGATTGGGTGAACCAGTATAAATCTTGGTTGTATCTTTCTAAACCTTTCTCTCCTTAATTTTGTCACTGCATTTAATTTGATTGTTTGCTTTGTTTGATTCAAGAATTGATCAGAAATCTTAATCTTTGAAATAGATAATCTGTAATTTGCGAAAATCTTTCAAAGATCAATTCACCCCCCCTCTTGATCTCAGCCTACTTTTCTAACACTTAAAAACAATCAAAGGATCGTCTATCTCATTGAAGAAGCATCCTGAGAACAATCAAAGGATCGGTTATATCATTGAAGAAGCATCCCGAGAACAATCAAAAGATCGAATATCTCATAGAAGAAGCATCCTGAGAATAATCAAATGATTGGCTACCTCACTGAAGGAGCATCTTGCAAATCGAATGATCGGCTGCGTCATTAAATGAGCAACCTAAAATCAAATCTTACAAATCGAAGGATCGACTACCTCACCGAAAGAGCATCTTCCAAATCGAAGGATCGACTACCTCATTGAACAAGCATCTTGAAAACAAATCTTACAAATCGAAGGATCGGCTACCTCACCGAAGGAGCATCCTGCAAATCGAAGGATTAGCTACCTCATTGAATGAGCATCCTGAAAACAAATCTTACAAATCGAAGGATAGGCTACCTCACCGAAAGACCATCCTGCAAATCAAAGGATCGACTACCTCACCGAAGGATCATCCTGCAAATCGAATGATCGACTACTGTTAAGCGGTAAAAAGTTGATATAATTATACCTTGAATTATTATGAAACCACTTAACTTATGTTAATTCTAATATATTTTTCTCCCAATATAGGATGAATTTGAGAATACCTTGATACAAGAGTAAGGAGTATAATTGTGAAGTAATTGAAGAAAAATTGAAAGAAAGAAGAACGCTTAAGCGAATGAATGATGTGAGGCCCGACCCAAATTCTCTTATAAAAAGATAAGATGTGTTTTGAAAAAAGAAACAATTTTGGAGAAGAGGAGGCGCAACTACTGCTATGGTTTCGTCTAATCTTCATCAATTCTTCACTTCTTCCACATTGGGAGCATTGTAATGGCCAACATGAGTGGCTAAATTCATTCTCTTAAGATTCGGTGCAGTTCCTTTGAACTCTTTTGTATCATGGTGATATTTTGAGATATTATTCTATGCTTTGATGTTGTTATTCTTATCCTTTATGCTTTGAAATGATTTATTCTTGATTGTTAGTATGATTGGAAAATATATCTTGAACCCTAGATCACGGTAAGAATATTTGTTACGTTAATTGCCAGGAATGGAATGAATGTATCAATTGCTTAACACCCTAACCCTAATGCTGGAAAATCTCTTAATTGTGTGAGGAATCAACATTTATTAGGTTTTCTTATGAATTTCATGTGTGAGGAATCAACAAGGATGATTTGAGTAGGTGGCATCAACATTATTAGGTTAATTGACGTTCTTAACTTACATAGTCATTACAAAAGAGGGATAAGGAAGGAAGTCAATCCTAAGTGCCTTTAATTGATATTTTCTCAACAAATTTACAGTTCTTTGTCATTTAATTTCAATTCAACTCTTTATGCAAAACACATTCTGTTTTATTCTACTTAGTAAGCATATAATTGGGAATTTCCATTGAAACCATTCCTCGTGGGATCGACTTTTATTTAATCGAAATACTATACTGCGATTGATAATTTTGGTATGCTTGCCAATAATTCAACAAGTATTTCTGGTGCCGTTGCCGGGGATCGAACCCGGGTCACCCGCGTGACAGGCAGGAATACTCACCTGTAGACCCCAAATCTTGTCCGGCCTCATAATAAAGACCAGAAGACCTCCTATTCGAAGATGGACGAAGCCTAAGAAGCCACTAGGAGAGACTATTAGGCCCCATACTAGGATAGGAAGGATTTTCTGCATTAAAATAAGGATTTTCGCCTTCAGGGATCGAGACCGCCGTCTCGCCATTCCTACAAGTCGAGACCGTCATCTCGTTTGGCGAGACTGCCGTCTTGCCACCTGCAAATGGCGAGACTCCCTTCTCGTTTGGCGAGACGGCCTTCTCGCCATTTTTGCAAGGCGAGACGGCCGTCCCGAATGGCGAGACGGTCATCTCAACCTTGTCAGACGAGACGACCGTCTTGGTGTGACATGCGCGAATCCCTATAAATGGCGAGCGCTCCCCCCCCCCTCATTTCACACAGTTCTTCCACTTTCCCTTCTACCACTTCTTCAAATTCTCTTCCTAGAACCCCTCCGAAGAATTTCTGGAGTTTCTGAGAGTTTCTTAGAGATTTTTATAGCGTTTCCGAGAGATTTCTGGTGTTGTAAAGAGCGAAGGGCTGCCAAAACGCACCCTATTTTTCAAGAGTATTAATATAAAGCTTGCCTCGGAGGTTTCTTCATTTTGCCTCTCTCTCTTACTGTTTTATTTCTATGATTAAATTGCATGATAGACATTAGGGTCATGTAGTCGTTATTTTAATTCCGTTAACAAAAGGGTAAAAACGTCTTTTCAAAAAGTTTATTTACAAAATAGCTGGCCTATCATAGGGAACCCGAAAGGGGCGTCGTAAGGGAACTAACACTTCCCTTACACGTAACTAACTCCCTTACCTAACTCTGGTTTTAACAACCAAAGTTGGTTTTCGAAAACCAACGTCTTTTTACTCCTTTTTCGATGTTTCCAGTAAAAACATCGGTGGCGACTCCATAAGAACCCTTTAAAATTAGTTCTTGGGTTAGCCCGGTTATCGGATAATCCAAGAACACTTTTTTGAAAACCTCGCCCCTAGGTTCAGCTCGGTTATCGGACAACCTAAAGGCGTTGTAACCACACCCATAAAAACGCAAAAATTGGAAAGTCGGAACCATCGCGTCACTCCGACCGCCTCGTTTTGACGGCGGCAACAAATGGCGACTCCACTGGGGAAGCCTAGAGAGTTGATCCCATTTAGTGATGTGTCAGCTTAAATAAATAAAATGAGAAATTACGCTTTTACCCTACCTTGTATTATAACATGTTTTAATGCTTGGCTTTAATAACTGTTGTTGGTTTATTTTTATGTGATTGTTTGAAATACAAATTGTACACAAACCTTTGCACACAACAGTTCCCTCTATACCTGGGGGCAAGTGAGAAATCCATAGGGAGTTGGTGGCAAGTACGGTTCGCTATAGTGATGGCCTTATGCCCACCAGTGTGATCGGAAACCACCACTCAAGGTGATAACCTTCCTCTTTTGGCACAAAGACTAACTATGGCCTTAGTGCTAAGCATGGTCGGAAGGCTGGAGAGTGGGGACCCTATAATGGGGGCACCTTGGGGGCCTTAGCCTTGGTGAGAACAGTTAGAACCTACCTTCGCCAATGCACTTTTCTGCAGGAAAACCCTACCTCGTGATTAAAATGACTTCTCGCCTGTTTGTGGGTGATCGAATTGTGTGCACATTTGTTTGTTGCATTTGTTTGTAGCATAGCATAACCAAACAACAGAAAAATCACAAAAAAACATTTTTTGCAATAAACACCCTTATCTCGGACAGTCTGCCTTTTAGCTAGCCTGGTTTCAGGTTCTTTGTAAGCTAAGTAGCCACACAGTCCGACAGAAGAGATAAAGGCTATAAAAAACATTAAAAAATCAAATAAAAATCCAAATCAAATCTAGAAAATAAATAAGATGATCTTTGACAAAGTCAAATCATTCATCATATCATGAGTGGAGAAAAACCAAGAGAGAAAATAAAAAGGAGAGAGCACATTTGGCATCATCCAAACAGAATCTCTCGTACATAAACAAATCCATATTAGTCCTACACTCAACATGCATTAATAAACTTCTTTCGGGCATTCTAGAAAGTGGATGGTCCTCTCCCCATTCGAACTCATGCACAAAAAGCCAGAGCAATGGAGAATCTGGAAGAACAAAATCATAAGCTTACTGCAGAGGTTAACACCCTCAGAGAGCAAATGGCCCAATTGATGGAGGCCGAAACACATCTCCAGTCTAATGCTCGGACTGCTCGTGTAAACGTATCCAAGATCACCGCCCTAGAAGAAAGGCTGAAGGCGGTGGAGGGGCACAACTTTGACGTCAAGGAGGTAGCGGACATGTGCCTGATGAAGAACATCTATTTCCCTCCCAAATTCAAAATCCCAGACTTCCCCAAGTACGCCGGGCTGACCTGCCCCAAGAACCATCTTACAATGTATTGTCGTAAGATGGCCACTCACGCTGAAAAATGAAAAACTCCTGATCCACTACTTCCAAGAGAGTCTGGCTGACACAGCTCTCAACTGGTACATGCAGTTGGAGAGAGGGCAGGTCCAAAACTAGAAACAGCTGGCTGACGCTTTTCTTCATCGTTATCGATACAATATCGATCTAACCCCTGACAGGTCAGATCTCAGGACTCTGAGCAAAAGAAATGGCCCAAAGATGGAGGGAAATGGCCGTCCAAATAGAGCCTACTTTGACGGATAAGGAGACAATGGCTATGTTCATAGATTCACTGACTGCAGCGTACTACGATAAGGCAATAGCCAGTACCTCCAACCTTTTCTCGGACATAGTCACTATGGGAGAAAGAGTAGAGCAGGGGCTGAGGAGTGGGAAGATAGCACAATCTTCACAGGATGGCGTCTCATTCAAAAAACCTGCTGGCAAGAAGAAGGGCAAAGTTGTACACACAATTAACTTTGCTACTCCTTCTGCTCCGCAAACGGCTCGGCAGCCTCGCAAGAAAGAGAGGAAGTTATTCCCATCTCAACTTCCTATGGTAAGCTGCTGCCTCAGTTGGTGGAGGCCAAACTCTTGACCTGCGTTCCTCCCAAGAAGCAAATAGAGCCTCCCTACCCCGAGTGGTACAAACCAAACGAAAAATGTGATTACCACTCGGGTTCACTTGGACACTCCACAAAAAATTGCTTGACCCTTAAGTATCGGGTTCAAGAATTGATCGATGCCGGGTGGATAACTTTTGATGCCTCTTCTTCTGATGTCGACGCCAAACCTCTATCTAAGCCAGAGTAGCAAAAAGGGAGGATTGGGAGGATCAGCCCTAGGGTGCCTTTTTTTTAGCTTTCTCTTGTATTTCCTGCGGTCCCCGCCCGTGGCCGCAGGAACTCTGATTAAAAGGGCTTGTACATACACTTTCGTTTTTCTTAATACATGAGGCATTTTATCACATTCATTTCCTTCATTCTTTTCCCTCTTCTATTTATTATTCGTTCAAAGATAATTGAATAATAAAATCTATGACTAAAACAGAACCTAAAACACATCATGTCTGTGATTGATGAATCTCTGTGGACCCCAGAAGTCGAAGGCGAATGGGTCGAGTCCGATAGTGAGCAGGGGACCATTTCCTCGGACATGCAAAAATGCTGGAAAAAGAAGCACGCATTATACAACTGTATCAAGAAGAAACGGAAACTATCAATTTGGGAGAAGGGGATGATGAGAAAAAGATAAGTATTGGCACCCAAATAGAAAGTAGCATAAAGGAGGGATTGATACAACTTCTAAAGGAATATATGGATGTATTCGCCTAGTCCTATCATGAGATGCCCGGGCTCGACACAAGTATAGTGGAGCATAAACTGCCATTAAAAGAAGGGTTCCAACCTGTGAAGCAAAAACTTAGAAGAATCAAACCAGACTGGTCCTTAATGATTAAGGAGGAGGTACAAAGACAACTGGATGCCAATTTCCTAGTAGTCTCCAAATACCTGGAGTGGTTGGCTAACATAGTGCCTATTATCAAAAAGAACGGCAAAGTCAGGGTATGCGTGGATTATAGGGACCTCAATCGAGCGAGTCGAAAGGATGACTTTCCCCTACCACATATAGACACGCTAGTGGACCATACCGCTACCAATACGCTTTATTCCTTCATGGATGGATATGCAGGGTACAATCAAATTAAATTGGTCGTCAATGACAGAGAAAAAAACTCTTTTATCACACCATGGGGCACCTTCTGCTACCGTGTGATGCCTTTTGGACTCAAGAATGCAGGGGCTACCTATCAAAGGACTATGGTCACACTATTCCATGACATGATCCACAAGGAAATAGAGGTGTATGTGGATGACATGATCGCCAAGTCCAGAAATGAGATGGACCACATTCAATATCTCAAGAAATTGTTTGATCGGCTCCGGAAATATCAACTCAAACTAAACCCGGCAAAATGTACTTTCGGAGTACGATCAGGAAAACTATTGGGGTTCATCGTCAGCAAAAGAGGAATAGAAGTGGACCCTGACAAAACCAAAGCGATTTTGGAAATGCCCCCGCCAAGCACAGAAAACGAGGTCAGAGGATTTCTAGGCCGAATTAACTATATTGCCTGTTTCATCGCACAGTTGACGAATAAATGTATACCCATCTTTAAACTGTTCGCAAAAATCAACCAACAGTGTGGAATGAAGAATGCCAACAAGCATTTGATAAAATCAAAACATGCTTGACTAATCCGCCAGTTTTGGTACCGCCCGTTGAAGGGAAACCTCTGATCCCATATTTGTGAATACTCGAAGAATCCATGGGATGTGTACTCGGTCAACAAGAAGAAACTGGGAAGAAAGAACGAGCCATTTATTATCTCAGCAAGAAATTCCTAGACTATGAAACCCGTTATACACCATTTGAAAAGACCTGTTACGCATTGGTATGGGTCACTCAGAGTCTTCGACAATATATGGCTCGACACACAACATGGTTGGTATCCAAAATGGACCCAATCAAGTACTTCTTCGAGAAGCCCATTATGACCGGAAGAATAACTAGGTGGCAAGTGCTCCTCTCAG